CGTCGCGCATGTTCGCCTCAGAATCGGACATCGTGATGCTCCGACCCGGAGCGCGTGTCGCGAGGCGTCGCGTTCCGCGGAGCGATCTCCCTCTCTAACATCTCGATAACTGTCTCTTTGTCTATCGATATAATCTCGCGTCTTTGTTAATTGGGGCATTACCGTTACCGTTTTGAAGTAATATTCGAATCGTAACCTCTAATTTCGGCTGCTATCAATATTCTCTACCATTCGCCGATTCCTCGTCAGAGAATTCGTATGTACACGCGGTTGCCGAGTCAATCAGGTCATTCTGGATTAAAGTGCAGTGAGTTCTCTGCATTCTGGGTCGTATCGGGTCCCGCCGACTTGCTAACAATTATCGCGTCTCATCGGCGAACTCATTCCGAGAGTTACGGACAGCGTGCGCCGTATCGAGGGTCGCCGACAAGAGTCCATATACTTGGCATCTAAAGGAACACGACTGCATCTCCATCCGCCCAGCTAGGTCTATCGGAGATCTCATTTTCATCAAACGGACGGATTGGGCTTCCAGCATCTCGTCATTGTTCTATCGCCGAGGTATCACGTCATCTTGGCGCCCAATGTGACAATTGTTTACGTTTCTTTGTGAGAGCTTTCAAGAAGGCATTAAACATTATTAAACATTAAGGCATTATTTACAAAAACTGTTTAATCTCCAACAGTCACTCAAATCAAATCGTTCTGGTTCTCTCGTTTCCATTCCTCACGTTTTCTATTTATCGTCGATATTCCGATCCTCCGTCGCATTTCCCGCCTCCTACCTACCGCCTTCGCGCTCTTTTCAGAGCGGTCCAGAAATTGTGTTCTCCTCAAGAAAATTCTTTCGCGAATTCTCGCATAAAACATTTGGTCCTTCGAGCCGGATCGAGGGCGACCTTGGTTGGAGCTCGACGGTACGATCGACGCGGTCACGTTGTCCTTTCCCATGACTTTCAACTAATCAGGAACACATCATGTCAGAACTTTATCATAAGCAACAATCGTTGTTATGAACGCCTTATTGAACGTTCCTTGGACAACTTCAAGAAAATTGGGAGGAATAATTATACTCCGGCAAAAATAAGATCTCGGATATCGTCTCTCAAGGAAACATGGGCCCAGTGTATCCAACTGCATGCCTCTCTATTGCAACTCACTCCGGAAGCCAACAGGGACTCAGTTGACTATTTCAAGCTCAAGCACTTCGACCTTGCAGCAAATGTCGTCCAATCTACGTTGGATTTCATGGCGGAGTGTCTCGAAGAATTGGAACCCAGCGTGAGTCTGCATCAGCCTACCTCGATTCCGGGTTCGCGACCGGTCGACCATGCGTCTGCGTCGTTTTCGCTATCGCATTTACCGCCGATTAATCTCCCCCAATTTTCCGGGAAATTCGAGGAGTGGGAAAGTTTCCGCGACCGGTTTACGGCGCTTATTGTTCATAATACTGAATTGTCTGCGTTCGCGCGTATGCATTTTCTATCGTCTAGTCTCACTGGCCGCGCTCTGGAATCGATCAAGACGATTCCGGTTACCGCAGACAATTTCGACATTGCATGGGAAACGTTAAAATCGCGGTACGACAATAAACGTCGGTTAGTCGAGACGCATATCTCTAAGTTGTTCCAGTTGCCGTCCGTCTCTTGCGAATCAGCGGCGGATCTTAACAACTTACGGGATGTGGCGAACCGATCGATCGCTTCTCTTAAGAATTTAAATCGTGAGCCCGCCGATATGTTGAGTGATGTGCTCGTGTTCGCCGTCTCATAAAAATTGGATGTCGCGACTCGTCGCGCGTGGAGGTTGAAAGGCGGTAGCGACTTTGATATTCCGACGTACGAAGAACTCGATCGTTTCATCGCTGCAAGAGCTCGCGCGTTTGAAGATTTAGCGCCTCGTACCTCGACTAAACCGGTCCGTTCTCCTCGGTTCGCCAATGCTGCCGCGACCAACGCTTCAAAAATTAATTGTTCCTTATGTAAAGGGTCGCATTTCATTAATAAATGTTCGCTCTTCCTGAGGAAGAGCCCGAGTCAACGTCTCGAGTTAATCAAGCAATTGAATAGATGCCTCAATTGTTTGAGTTCTAAACACGTGGTAAGTGCCTGCTCGAGCAAGTACTCTTGCCGGACCTGCCATCGCCATCATCATTCGACGTTACGTTGACTCGCTCTCTTCCTCAGGATCCTCGATGGCTACAGAGCCCGTTATTTCGCGACCGGAAAGCAATGGCTCTCCAATCACTTCGCTATCGTCTATTCATATTCACTGCTCGCGCATTTTACTCGCTACCGCGCGAATTCGGGTAAGCGCCCCTCCAGGGCGGTCGTGCGTGGTTCGAGCACTTATCGATCAAGGGTCGGAATTACCTTTATAACGGAAAGACTTCGACAAACCTTAAAGTTGGCTCATGTGAGAAAGCTCATGTGAAAATTGTGTTGGCTCACAATCTCCGCTGTCGGCGGTATTGACGCTGGAACTTGCCGATACGCCTCTCGAGTTTTCGTTTCGTCTCTCGACGAATCAGGTCCCGTGCTCACGGTTACCGCCTCAATTATGAAAACTCTTACTCGTTACGTTCCCGAGCAAGCTTGCTCACTCCGCACATCTTCAAAGCCTTGCATTAGCAGATTCTGATCTGCTAACGCCGGAGCCGATTGATCTGCTGTTGGGGGCTGATCTCTACGGCGAATTACTTCTCGATGGCGTAAAGAAGGGGGGAACCGGTCAGCCCGTCGCTCAAAATACGATCTTCGGGTGGATTCTCTCGGGGCCATCCTCTCGTCAGTCTCATTTAAATTCGAGAATTCATGTGCAGCATTGCGCATCATCACTACCGCTCGAAAAAGAGCTCCGCAAATTCTGGGAGGTTGAGGAGATACCTCGCCGCCCGTATTTGAGTCCAGAGGAGCAGCGTTGCGAGGATCACTTTGTGACCTCCCATTCTCGTTCACCGGACGATACATAGTTCGACTCCCTTTTAAGCTAGGACCTCCTATCGACATCGGTTCCTCTTGCCACGTAGCCGACCGGGTGCTTCGACAATTACACCGTAGGTTTAAAATCCAACTTGAGTTGTCTCAGGATTACAGTCAGTTCCTCCGAGACTACGAGGACCTCGGTCATATGCGACTAATAACGAAGGGGGAACTTACAGAAGCTCAATGCGTATACATACCGCATTATCCCGTTCTGCGAGAAAGCAGCAGCACGACTCGTTTGAGAGTAGTGTTTAATGCCTCAAGCTCAAGCTCGAATTCTACGTCATTGAATGACCATTTATTACCGGGTCCCAAATTACAAACCGATCTGTCGACGGTTATTCTCAAGTGGCGAACTTACCAATACGTCCTTAGCGCGGACATTGCCAAAATGTATCGCCAAATTCTAGTCAATTACCAGAGAATCTTGTGGTCAGCGAACAACACGTTCCCAGTTCAGGAGTATCAGCTACTCACTGTCACCTACGGTACTGCTTCCGCTCCATTTCTCGCTCTTCGCGTTCTCCAACAACTCGTCAAGGATGAGGGTCATGCGTTCCCGTTGGCTGTCCCGATCCTGCGAGACGACATTTACGTCGACGACGTACTATTTGGAGCCGACGACATACCTCTCCTTCGACAAACGCGTAATCAAGTTCGCTCGTTGCTTCGTCTCGGTCGGTTCGAACTCCGTAAGTGGTCTAGTAATACTGCTCTTTTATTGCAAGATATCGACTCCGCCGACCATGGTCTCGCGTGTAACAAAAGCTTGAAGCTCGACGAGAACCTTAAAATTCTGGGTATTAGTTGGAATCCTAGTATGGACGCATTCCAATTCAACGTGTCGCTGCCGGATATAATTCCCCACACGAAGCGGGAAATTTTGTCGGCTGTCGCTCGAATCTTCGACCCATTGGGATGGGGCACTCCCGCGACAGTGAACGCCAAAATCTTCCTTCAAAAATTGTGGCAGTCCAAGCTTGATTGGGACGATCCTCTGACGGAGCCATTCACGACTCAATGGTCCGCCATCTATAAATCGTTGACACAGCTCGATGGGCTAACCATCCCTCGTTGGGTTGGACAAGGCGCTGACACTCTCGTTTGCGAATTGCACGGCTTTTCCGACGCGTCGAGCTCGGCTTACGCCGCGGCGGTGTATTTAAAAGTAGTCTCAATGTCGGGCCACACCACCGTGTCATTATTGACTGGAAAGTCAAAGGTCGCTCCAATCAAGACTTGGAGCATTCCGAGACTCGAACTTGCCGCTGCCGTTTTACTCTCTCGTCTCTTAGAATTCGCCCGAGATGCTCTCCATCTGAAGGCAGCCCCTTGCTTCTGCTGGACTGACTCCACAATTGTACTCGCTTGGCTCAGTCAGCCTCCAGCTCGGTGGAAGACTTTTGTGGCTAACCGGGTCTCGGACGTTTAATGTCGCCTCCCAACAGCGACACGTTTCCACGCGAGAAAACCCAGCCGACTGCGCGTCGCGCGGCTGTCTCGGAAATGACCTAGTTCATCATCCCCTTTGGTGGCAGGGTCCGACATGGCTGCGACTCGATCCATCGATGTGGCCGCCGCCGGCGACCATGATCTCGACCGGGTTAGAAGAAAACCCTCGCGTTGCCGTACATGTCGAAACTTCCGCCGCGTCATGGGATCTCGCAACAAGATACTCGTTGTGGCCCAAATTAATTCGGATCACAGCTTACTTGCTTCGATTCATAGCGAAACTACGTCGTTCCGTCAGCAAGGACGCTCCTATCGCCTCTGAGTCTCGAGCTCTCTCCTTTATTGAGTGTCAGACTTCTCGACTGTTTTGGCTACACCGCATTCAATCGGAGGTATTTCCGCTCGAGCGGCAAGCGTTGGAGAAACAACGATCCATTCCATCTAAAAGCCCTCTGTGTGCGCTCAGTGTTTTTCTAGATGAAGATAAACTTATTCACGTTGGCGGGCGGCTAAAAAATGCTCCATTGCCTTTCGCACGCAAGCATCCTGTGGTTCTGGCCGCTCATCCGGTCGTCGAGCTCATTGTTCGTCACGCTCATTTGCGGTCCCTGCACGCGGGCCCGCAACTAACTCTCGCCACCGTGCGGCAAGATTACTGGGTGCTGCGAGCGCGCAGCTTAGTCAAATTCATAATACACTGATGCGTGGTGTGTATTCGCGAAAAAGCACAGAGCCCGGTTCAGCTCATGGGAAACCTCCCTCACGCTCGTGTGACTCCCCCTACTCGCGCTTTTGTAAATTGCGGCATTGATTACGCCGGTCCAGTGCTCGTCCGATCGTTGTCCGGACGAGGCATTGCAGCGCGAAAGGCATACATCGCGATATTCGTCTGTGTGGCCACGCGCGCTGTTCATTTGGAACTCGTCGATGGTTACTCCACCTCGGCTTTTCTCGCCGCATACACTCGATTCTGCTCCCGCCGAGGATTGCCAGCTTCAGTCTTCTCAGACAACGGCACAACTTTCTTCGGCGCCAACCGCGAATTGACTATCGCATTTCGCGCTTTGTTGCGGGATCCGAATTTCCAAAATCGCGTGCGATGAGGTAGAGTGGCGATTTATTCCTCCTGCCGCACCCCACTTTGGAGGCCTCTGAGAAGCCGGAGTCCGCAGTGTCAAACATCATCTTCGTCGGGTTCTTGGCGATCATAAGTTGACATTTGAGGAGTTCACAACGTTGTTGTGTACAATTGAAGCTTGTCTTAATTCTTGGCCGTTGGGACCACTCACCGATAGTCCCGACAATTTCGACATCCTCACTCCAGGCCATTTTTTGATAGGAATTTCTCTTACAGCCATACCGGAACCTTCATTACTCAATATGACTGAAAATCGGTTGTCGCATTGGCAGCTCCTGCGTCAACTATCCGAACGGTTCTGGCGAATTTGGACCGACGATTATCTCAATACATTGCAACAACGAGTCAAGTGGCGTCGGGCCGTTTATTTTCATTTCTTCGTAAAAATGCTAATGCCGGTGATCCTCTAACTTTGAAGAATTATAACTTGAAAAGTACTTCATGAAAAAATATTTTATTATAGAGTTTTGGAAAGCTCTCGAGATGTGCTATAAGAATATGCAATGAAAAATGGGGTGTCCCATTTAAAAAAATTAATGTGACCTTGACCTGACCTTCGCTACGCAACCCAAGGTCAAACTGATGTGATCAGTAAATACATCTTTTTAAACGCCACAACTTTTATCTGAAACATTTTTTTCTAAAATGCTTAGTTTTCGAGATATTTCACCGGTCCGG